CGCCAGCGGTTCTCAAAACTCTATTAATTCATAACAGGAGGATACACAAATATGAAAATTAATTACTAGATACGTAAACTCGTAAATAAGGAAACTACATCTTCGTATAAGTCATCTCGAACCTTACCGAACCGTAAAAGTCATCTCTAGTTATTGATTTTTTTGGTTAATGTTTTAGTTTTATTCCTGTCACCTTCCGTTTCTTTTACTTCTTTTCCTTTTTGCGTCTGCTAAAAAATTCTCAAAGACGTTTCGCTTCTTCTATTTAATATTTTCTCGTTCTCTCTGTTCTGTTCTCTACCTTCATCTGCCTTCCTCCACATCGCCCCCCTCTAAAAACCCGCAACATTTGTGTTTTTAACAATAATTTAGTTTTCTTTTTTAAATTTATTTTTTCTGATGCGAATTATATTGAGGAACCTTTCATAGCAAAAAGGTGGGAGAGTTGCTTTACACCGCCGATCATTCGGGCACAAGTCGCAGTGAAATAATCTAAATTGAAGCTTGATTTTCTAGGTTCTTTCTACTGCAGCCTCTTATTCCACCATTGCCACGGCATGTGATGGAAGTACTCAAGAGCCCAGTATAGGAATTGTAAAATTTAATTCATGGATTCGTATTGATTTCGTATTGATATTCCCAAAATATATTTGTTCCTACCAACATTAGAAGAGTTTCAGAAATATTTCGGGTACTCAGGAGAATATTTCAGGCCATTTTTGGACTTCCGTCGTTTTCTCTGGCGGAGAGTAATTTTTCATCATTAAGCACTTCTTTTGACAGCTTCTTAGTCCCTAATCTGGCTGTTAGTTTATCATTTGTTGAACACAAGTTTTTGATCATAAGATTTTATCCACAAACAACAGAACTTCACAAGTAGTTTACAGGCCCGCCCAGAAAGTAGTAGTAGATAAAAGAAACATTATTTGTTGGTTTCACCCCTGTCACTTCCGCCTAAGATCATTACTGGGTATGATAGTGATTTAAGGGTGTAATATTTCATTTTTCTATGGAAGTTTTAGATTCTGCAACTGCCGGTTTCGTTTCCGCGAAACCGCGTTGGCGATAAAAGGGTATAACTGTCATTTCCCGATTTCCTAAATACGCGTGTATAAACGAAGTCATTGACTGTTCAACTGCAGATAATTTTCGATCTTTACACTATGAAACACGAGTCTATAGTGTTTAATAACCTTTCTGTCTACCAAAAGACGCGAATTATATCCACGTGACTTTTGTTCCTAGGATTTACCGATTTTCTGGATCACCTGACGTGCTCTGGAATATATTTTACGAAGATGCTTTTAAATCGAGTTTTCCCCCACATTATTATTTCTTTCCATTCTCTTCGGGATAAATATCAGTCGAGTTGTGAAATTTCCAAGCCGAATCAACTTATCTCATGGCGGGTCGTGAATTTATCGGTAAAACTAATATCGTATTGATAATGAGTACGAAGAAGTGCAACGTGGTAGGAAGTGGTTGCCTGTTATATTCTCGTAGGCAAGAAGTGGCCGTCGCGTGTTGCTCCCATCACCCCGACGCCATGCCCGCCCCGCTGCTCCACGCCACTCGAGGCGCTCGGCCGCCTGTCGGGCGGCGCGTTGACAAGCGAGACGAACGTTAATTCCCGCTGCGGCCCCCCGATCGCCGAAGGACACTGGCTCCTAGCTCCCACACCGACCTCCGCGCCCCCGGCATCAAACGCAATCATCGGCTCCCCACCTCATTCGCCCTCTCTCCCTCTCTGCTACTTATTTCCCATTCTCTCTTCCCGTAGCTTTGCCATGTAGTCCTACGACGTTTCAATTTTTAATGAATATTTTGACTCTGCACTTTTTACTGTAATTTTTTTAACCGTCTTTATCATCTTCACGTATCACACTCTCCGCCTGTTTTCGTCTTTTTCCGTTTCCCTTTTCTGCCTCTTTTCCACACTCCAACTTTTATTACGTCTTATGTTTCGACTTCTGCCATTGCAAGTCTTCCGCCATGATCTCGTCTTCCATCTCACACTCACGTTCGCATCGACATCCTACCATCCCAGGCCTATTATTTCCTTCCCCACTCCCCTTCCCATTCTACTTCCATCTTCAGTTGTTTTTTTCTCGCCTCGCCCCTCCTTCACTCTTTCCCTCCGCTCCGCTCCTCCTCCACGCAAGAGAAGAATGCGACCCGGTCGACCCCGAGCGCCAGACACGTGTTGCGCCTTAAGCATTCTGTATACTGCATTACTTTCCCGCGCCGGGGACCCGCGTCCCGCTGACCTCGCGCGCGCGCGCGCGTGAGGTCATCGCGCCGGGGTCAAAAGGGGCCCTGCGCTGCTCCTAGGCGCGGGCGCCGCTGCCGCCGCCGCCGCTGCCGCCTCGCGCCGCGCACCACAGTCGCCCTCGCGAGCACAGATGGATGGACGGATGGAAGGGTGTAGTGCGGGGGACACGCCCCCTAAAGGTTCCGAGGAACTCTTCATGTTAACAAATACTTACTACACACGTCATTAATATAAATGCTCGTAAAATTGATCAAAGCATCCCAAGGTGTGGGGTGAAGGTCTGTTCCATTCTAATAGAAATATATTGCGTTGGCCGTTTGTTAAATAGACATTCGTTTATGTTCTACTCCTATACATGTTGCAATTGGTATTAATTTTAATTTACTTTTAAATGTATAATTTTAGTGCTTCTTGCGTAAATACACTTCATAAAGATTCCAATTCCAGGATCGAAACAGAAACTCAAATTTTAAAATGTACGTGATGTGTAAGAAATGTATGTCTAACGTCAACACAGCATGTCTCTATAATTACTCATTTCCACTTATATTAACAAAATACGCGTAGTTACGATATAGGAGAGACAACTCGAGCTATACAAATTTTATTGCACCAATGAATTAATAACGGTTTTCATTTTACACTTTCTCCGAAAAACATCCTGCAAAGGTTTTTATACGGGTCGAATATTGTGATGACTCTCAACCAATCACCGATTGGTCATCGAACATCGATCTTTGCTACGGAGGGATGTTTGATGTAGAAACTCCAGAGTCTACCTACTCGCCTACGTCATTCGCGAATGCCTTTTACCCTCGAGATAACATTTAAATCAACCGGTCTTTGATTAATAGATCGGATCCCAATCGCCATCCCACATTCTTTCCTACCGATGGAAAATCTTCACGCTGACGAAACCAACGTCCGACCGCGAGCCGGCGGGTACAGGACCCCGAACCCACTGACCCCCGGCTGGGGGGCGGCGCTGGTCCCTCGGATCGCGGCTCGGCGCTAATAAAGGCCCACGCAACGCCGTCGCTCCCTCTCCAGGACCTAAGAAGTCACCCAGCAAATTGCGGCGCTTAATTCGTGCGAGCTCTGTGTACACACAAAGGTTAAGCGTTCGCGCGACGGGGCGGGCGAGGGCAAAAACGCGGGAGGCCCCGGGAGCCCGGACTTGACCCCGGGAGCGCGCAAACACAGCGTAAAGGAGGCCTTTTATTGCCACGGGAACGCACCAGCGCCCGGGCGGAGGCGGCGCTCGCGATGCCGAATTTTTGGAACCGCCCGGCGCGCGCCGGGAGTGGTTGCGGACGGTTTGGGGCTCTGTGGACCGCGACGGCGTTCGTGTTGCTGGTGTTATTAAACGAAAATGGTTGAGGCTGGGGTCAGTAAGGGGGCAATTTGTTGTTAGGAAATTCTTTGAGAATTGGATTGTAGATCAGTAGTTCAGGTTACATTATTTTGTAATTAGTTTGTAGAGTTGATCATTTTGTCTAAGTCTTTCCTCAAAAATGAATGCATGTATTATTATTATTATTATTATTATTATTATTATTATTATTATTATTATTATTATTATAAGTTTGAAGCCATATCGTAGCATTGAGTCTTTTCGGAAGTCCGGAAAGTTCCTTGGAAAATACGCAATGGGTCTGTAATGTATTTGCTCTTTTAGGTCGTCGTCCTGTTTTATGAATTTTCTCTCCTCCGTTGTGTTAAGGCGGGTATTATTGGCTACATAATTCACTGCGGCTGGAATTCCACTTCGTGAGTTTTCCGTTTTTTTATGTTTTCCCTCTCCTTGTTTTTCCTGTAGAGTACCAAATTCTCCGTTTTTACTTGCATGTTTTTTTCTGGAATTAACTTGTTTTAGTTCAAAAATCTTATGTTGGAAGTGAACTCCTTGTTTGGTCGTGCAAATTAATGTTTATCATATTTTATAATGGAAGCACTTTCAAATGTAATGCATGTTAGTTTACAAGATTTTCTTTGTCTTATTGTATCAATTATTTCTTAATGAAAACAATGAAACTGTTCATAACTCAGAAAATCATGTTAACTGAAGCGGAGTAAAACATGTATAGAAGCAATTTAACTTTCTAGGCCAAAATGATAATGAAATGTTTAATTTATGATACACGCGTCACAATTATGTCATTTTTTTCTATATTCTGTTTTTTTGCAATTGTTTCAAGTAAAATATGCCACTGATTCCCTGTATTTAATGCGTTTTCCTTCGTATTTTAAAATTTCTCGATTACCAATCTCTAGTACATTAATGTTATAAATATGTTTGATTAAAGAATTAATACTTGTAAAGAGCAGTTTTATGTAAATAAATATTATTTCCACTGTTGTTTGGATGCTGTCTGTTGCGCCTTCTTCAGCAAACATCGTAACTTTAGTAGTATTTCAATAACAGCGTGAACTTCGTAATAAGAACGTCTTTATAAGGAAAAATTCCGCACATCGTAGTCTTTTGCATTTGATGGTTTACTTTTCTTGTTACCTTGTTTAAATGGTAATTGTCAAATTTATTACCTTGACATTGTATCAATGAAATAAATGTAACAATCTCCGAATACCTCTGTATTACGCAGTAAAGTAGGCCTACTCTATTCTTTGAATTTGGTTAAAGAGTGTTTGCACGGTAGTTAATTGTATTGGCAGGTGTCGTGGTGTGCATGCGCTGGGTTTGTGGTGACGGGCGCTCTCCTTGTTGCAGTCCCGCTGCCTCCGGCCGGCAAGTCGCCGTCGGCGGTGGCCGCCGCCGCCGCCGCCGCGGCCGCCGCGGCCGAGGACGCCGTGGCGTCGGCTCACGTGCCGTCGCCGGCGTCTGAGTACTACATCAAGTGCGTGCACTGCCACAAGGGCTACCCGGACTTCGCCGCCCTCAAGGCGCACATGGCGACGGCGCACGCGGCGGACA